TATTATTATTTTTGTATTTTTTTTTTGTATTTTTTTTTCACTGCAATTTTATTTTTTTTAATTTTATTATTATTTGTATGAAAAATACAAAATAATTATTAAATATATTATATATTTATTAATCTATGATATATTTATTATATTATATATTTATATAATCTATGATATATTTATTATATTATGTATTTATTATTTATCTATGATAAATAATTATCATAGAAACATTTTTAATGAATAGATTATTATAAAAAAATGTTAAAAAATAAAAATTAATCATACCGGAAAATGAATATCATTTTTATAATATATACTATAATCATTAGTTATTTAGAAAAATATAAGAATTCATATTTTTATAAAATTATGATATTATTCCAAATTATTTTAAAATTTTTTATAATAAACTATTATTTTATCTAATTGTTCAATTATATTAAATAAAAATATATAACTATATTCTAAAACCTCATTGATAAATTTTTAAATTATGAATAAATAATGCTATAATAGATATAATAAATATATAATTTACATACATAATGCAAAATAAATTATTAAATATAGTTAATCATATAAGAGAAAATTAATGTTAATTTTATCTTTTATAAAAATGACTTTTGAAATTTAATGTTGATATACATATTTTGTATTTTAATAATTTATTTATTATCCATTATAATTTTTTTATTTGATTTAGAAGCGTAGTCATATGTGTATATTAAAAAGAATATTCAGCAGATAATTACTTATTTTTAGCATATTTACTTAAAATATACATCTAATAATATATATTTGAAGTTCTCAAGCTGAGATTACATCATAAAACATCAAAATCATATTTTCAATAGAGTACATGTATTTCATTTTTAAAATATTTAAAAAATAATTGTGTTACCAATTGTGTTAGCATAATACAACACATAATTGTGTTAGCATTTTTTTTTAATTAGTTTTTATTTATAACAAAAAAAAATCTAATATCTTAATATATATATAATAAATATTTTTGAAAGAAATATGAATTTAATTATATGAAATTTAACTTTCATAAAATAA